TCTTAAAAAGTGTTGTGTTTTTTTTTCTCATTTTACATATAGGCTTATTGCATTTATGTATATAATGGTAGTAACCAATGGCCTTTTGGGAGGTGTTGCGTGACATGACGTAATGCCCTTTTCTGATTGGCTGAAAGACTTCGGTGGGCAAAACAAACTCTTTGTACAAACGCACATAGGACATTACAAAAAAATTCAATGGTGGGTTAGCTAGCACTGGAGATCAACACTAAACAAAACATTCAGTGTTACACGTTATTCTCATCGAGGTTATCCAAAATCGCCAAATGCTATAACAAAGAGAAAAACAAAACTGAGATACTCAACAGTGTTGATCATGACGAGCTCCCTGAATTTTCTCTGAGTGCCTTAAAGGCTGACTCATGCTGAAGGTTAATCAAGAGGACACTGTTGTAGGTATTACCATTGCTTAAAATTACTTGCTCAGTAAAGCTTTAATTATAAGCTTATTAATGGTTACACATCTTGACATACAACTGACTTTGAACACTGTTGAGTTATTGCTTCCAATTACAATTGAATGTCAGATATAATCTTTTGTGGTTCACTTTGATAGTCTGTTTTCCTCGTGACATTACTTTCCAGTAGCATTACATTTTTAGGGTCAGATTCTGTCATTTCATTTTTGGATAAAACTAATAGCTAGTTGTGGTTGCATGATTTGGGGTCTGAAACGAACATTTGATCATTTTTAAACCTGTCTATTTTGCCTGTTATTTAGCAAAAACTCCATATTTGTCACAAATAAAATAAAATAAATCCGCATGTGAATACATGTCGTCACAAACAGCAAACGACTCAAAACAAAATCAACACGCTTTCAGGGCTCAATATGTCCTCTCGTACCAAGTTCCATAAGCGCGGCGTCAACTTGAAAAATCTTTCTATTCCTCCACACCTGCCTTTACAACTTTCCATAGAGAAATGTGAAAAAATATGCCACTTAAATGCCAGGTCAGTGTGTAATAAACCTACAGTTATAGATGATTTTGTAGTTGAAAACAGTATTGACATCTTATGTTTAACTGAAACTTGGTTAAAAAGTAATAGCCGAGTTTAGATATTTTGGTTCAGTGACCATGCACAAAAGAATTGCAGACGAGGCTCCGGGGAAATAAAGAATAAAACGATATTATACGCTCTTTGATTGGTCATTTTGAAGCGTGCACTTCAAAATAACTCTTTGCAATATTAAAAAAAATAAAATTATCAATGGATAATCTTGATTTATTCTTNTGCATGTGAAACACTTGTACATGCATTTATCTCTTCAAAACTAGATTTCTGTAATTCTTTGCTCTATGGTCTTCCTAAGTCTTCTATTAATAAGTTACAACGTGTGCAAAATGCGGCAGCAAGACTAATTTCTTTTTCTCGCAAACGCGATCATATCACGCCTATTGTTTACAACTTACATTGGCTGCCTGTAGATCAACGCATTGAATATAAAATTCTTTTAATTACTTTTAAGATTCTTAATGGAATTTCTCCTTCTTATCTTTCTGATCTTATTCTGCCTTATAAACCCTCACGTTCTTTAAGATCTTCATCAGCTAACCTCTTGGTCAAACCATCTTTTAACCTTAAATTCTATGGCAGAAGATCTTTCTCTTTTGCTGCTCCTGAGTTATGGAACTCTATTCCTGAGAATGTCCGTGAAGCAAAATCAATTTGTATTTTTAAAAAAGAAATTAAAACTTGGCATTTTAAGAAAGCATTTTCAATTAAATAATTTTTGAAGTTTTATGATAAAATCATTATTATTCTATTTGTGTATTATGCAAAAAAAAAGTATATATTCATAATTAAACAGTGTACGTATTCAAATTCTTTTTCAAATAAACCTTTTTATATATATCTTTTTATATCTTTTTCATAAATTTTTATAATAGTATTGAATTTTTCTATATTCAATTTTGTAAAGCGCATCAGAACCTGGTGGATAATTTGCGCTATATAAATACTATTTATTATTATTATTATTAATTTAGATAGGCCAGGCGAACAGCACCAAAACAATACCCTTTGCGCCATCGTTCACTGGGAGCTTTGGCATCGCGTGGTCACTTTCCAAACAAAAAACAATACTTTTAATTCCGACAGGTACAACGCACGATCCAAGGGGAAATCAAGCATGGCCAGAGGGGTTTGTTGGACTTCCAACGCAGGCCGTAACTGCGCGGGTTGCAAATATGACCACAAATGTAATAAGTGCGGAGGTAAGTACCAAGGCGTGCAATGTCAGCCACCAGCTGCTGACAATCGACTATCCACTGCCTCAACTCCACAACAAGCCTTTCACAAATTTTATCTCTTCTCCGTTAGGTGTTCTTTCAAAAAAAAACTCCAAGGTTGCTCGGTCAATGATTATATCCCTTCTGAACGTTCCACTGTACACTATGCCAAAATACGGGACGCAATTTGAATGATTAAATCCATCGGCCCCAATTGTTACTTGGCTAAGACATATATTAAGTCAACTTTCCGCATCATCCCTATCCATCCGGACGATTATCACCTTTTAGGTTTAACTTGGAATAATCAATATTTCTTCGACAGATGTCTACCCATGAGTTGTTCTTCGTCGTGCGCTATTTCGAAGCTTTCAGAATGTCGCTCCAGTGGCTCACTATACATGTGCTTGGCGCATGTATAGCTCCGCTGCCTTTAAGATCTACATACGTCCACCGTCACTTAAATCCAATAGTTAAATTGAAGCAAGTATATTCGCCACAGTTAATTTACGATGAATAGGTCAGAGGGACTTGAGAAAAAGAACAAAAGAATCCCAACACAAAAGCGCAAGAATAGGTTGAAAAATGAACTTGACAATTAATAAGATATTATGGATGTAGTGTTAGTGAAACAGTTGAACAGAAGATAAATATTTGATTAACAGTATTATTTAGCATATAATACTGACTGAGATGTTAAACAAGATTTTCACAGTTTGATGCATCATTACAAACCAGTATGTAACAAAGAGTACATGATTACTTTGTGATAATGGGTAATTGTATATTGACTAGGGACGTTATTGAGGCATTAAGTTTCATTCCATGTGTTCGAAATTATCATAGCTTTCTCACAATGGTTCAGTCAACACGTAAGTATTATCTTAGTTGATTCTCTGGTCAGGCAAGTTTCACTTTAGCATTCTCCTGCCGTTAAGTACCAACACTTTTAATATGGAAATTCGGGAATTCACTTTTTAACTGTATTTTCACCTTTCTAGAAGAAAAAGTATTTAAGTAATCTTTTTTTTTAAACGGTTTTCAAAGCAGTGATGTTTTAATTCATAGTTTTTTTCGTTTATATTGTTTTAATAAGTCTTAAAAAAACAAAATACTGTTCTATGTCAGAGATGATACGGATCTTCTAGTATTGATGTCATGCCATGGTGAGATATATACAAAGGACAGGCACTGCGGAGTCGGTGTTGCTTGGCTGGGCTTAGGCACCCAAATATTTTGGCCACCATTTTGAAAAATTCGAATTCATCAGCCGTTTTTCAAAAGTTGTTCCGTTTTGATTTAGCCCCCCAATAAAAATCANGTTTGTAATAAGTCAAGACAGAATTAAGTTAATATGTTATCAATTTATTACATCATAATTTTTTACCGAACTGAACTCTAAGTAAATTCTTTGGATACCATGTCTTTCTCAGTTTTCCAAAATAACTAGCTGGACTTTACGCTCAAGAGCGTCTATATTATTCAAAATATCTGATAGGTCATATAGGTCATAAACAATAGAAACGGTACAGTCTTGGCAGTATAACTTTGAATAATATTTTGATCATTTTAATCATGTATCTGTATCTTGTGTTTCTGTTCTTTTTTATTTGGTGTTTTTCATTAATTTGTAAATCTGGCGTTCTGTGCCATCATAAAGGTGTACCTTAGCCTTCTAATGACAGTTCATATTTTTGGATTTGTCTAAGTTTTTCAAGTTAAACAATCATCAAAACAAACAATAGAGAATTAAAATGCTCCATACACAATATAGATTTTGTATACAGAGTTCAGTAAAGCTCACACGTGCAGTTTTCCGAACTTCAAACACATAGTTTAGAAAATGGCATCAATATTTTTCAGATGAGGTTTGATATGCTTTCTTCCATCGAATGATTGTTTTCTGTCAAAGAATGAACCTTTTAAAAATAGCCATGTGATTTCTTATTTTTGAAGATTTTGTGTTTGACATCGAACACTTGTGTGACGAAGAAGTAGTGCTCTTCGAAGAGGTAAATAGCCTTTTAGAGAGACTTGTCATCAAAAGAAATGGAAGCAAAAAGGATAAAGAAAGGTGATGTGTTACTTTATGGAAAAAAGTAGATGTAAAACGTAAATATGGCAGAAGACAGAAAATTGCAATTCATATAAAAGAACAAAAGAATCCCAACACAAAAGCGCAAGAATAGGTTGAAAAATGAACTTGACAATTAATAAGATATTATTGATGTAGTGTTAGTGAAACAGTTGAACAGAAGATAAACAAATATTTGATTAACAGTATTATTTAGCATATAATACTGACTGAGATGTTAAACAAGATTTTCACAGTTTGATGCATCATTACAAACCAGTATGTAACAAAGAGTACATGATTACTTTGTGATAATGGGTAATTGTATATTGACTAGGGACGTTATTGAGGCATTAAGTTTCATTCCATGTGTTCGAAATTATCATAGCTTTCTCACAATGGTTCAGTCAACACGTAAGTATTATCTTAGTTGATTCTCTGGTCAGGCAACTTTCACTTAAGCATTCTCCTGCCGTTAAGTACCAACACTTTTAATATGGAAATTCGGGAATTCACTTTTTAACTGTATTTTCACCTTTCTAGAAGAAAAAGTATTTAAGTAATCTTTTTTTTTAAACGGTTTTCAAAGCAGTGATGTTTTAATTCATAGTTTTTTTCGTTTATATTGTTTTAATAAGTCTTAAAAAAACAAAATACTGTTCTATGTCAGAGATGATACGGATCTTCTAGTATTGATGTCATGCCATGGTGAGATATATACAAAGGACAGGCACTGCGGAGTCGGTGTTGCTTGGCTGGGCTTAGGCACCCAAATATTTTGGCCACCATTTTGAAAAATTCGAATTCATCAGCCGTTTTTCAAAAGTTGTTCCGTTTTGATTTAGCCCCCCAATAAAAATCATGCTCTGTGGTGCCTGAAATGATCTATTCTTAATATGGATCATAAATACAACAATCTTCATGATATACATTTCCTTGTTAAAAATGCCACTACTTTTATAATTAAGGTTGGAATAATAACTTTTTTAATGTCTGTTAACTCTCTAGGCACGTGCTCGCAGTACTCGATATGACGTCTGAAATCCCTGTTCCAGATGAAATTGCTTGGGGAGGCCTAGAAAATATGTTATCTTCCATGGAGAATGAATTTGATTTGTATAAGAGTCATGCTCACAAAATTGAAACCAATGTTCCAAAGGCACGGGTGTTCAGCAGTTATAATTTCATTGATAAGATGAAGATGAAAGGAAAACGGTTGYTGGTCCATTGGCAATAATTTCTATTTAATAGAGGATKGAGTCCAGTATATAACCTTTGGYAGAATCCTGGGGGGATGGAGTTGTGCACTCCACAAAAAKGATCAAAAAATTAAAATAAAGCACTGATGGATTCAAGATCTCAAGAGGGGTGTGAACCCCATGCACACAACAGCTAGGTTCATCCCTTATAAAGGAATATACCTTCAATTGGATTTACTTGTTTTCTGATGCAATTTTAGGATGCTGGAGTTGTCAAAGGGGAGGAAGAAGGAAACATTATATTAGTAGAATTTGATAAAGAGCAAGGGGAGGTGTACAAGTATGATTTAAATGACAAGGCAACAACCCGTACAAAAACCACAGACTTGTTACAGACAATCTTAYGTAAAAGCAGTGGACCTAGACTGATTTTGTTCGCGTGTAAAGAGAACACAACACATATGAAATGTCTAAATCTAAAACTTGAAATACCGTATAATACTTATCTAGCGTAAACTAGCTTAAAATTACCAAGTTTCTTGAAGAATACACASCGTGTGCTTTTAGTGTTCTTGGTATTTAAAATCATGGCTGATCCCTGGAATAATGTTCCTTCGAGCAGTAATACTAATTCTACAAATCACAGGTAAGGTTTGTGCACATTCAAGTGATTGCAATTCACCGATTTACCTAACCATTTATTTTAGTACGACCTTTTGTTTTGCTTGCAGAAATCGCTTTACTATACACCTCTGATGAATTTGTTGAACACTCAACAACACCATCCTGGGCCGTTGCTTTTCAGACCTGGCCAGTATTTTGGCTACAATAGTAGTACAACTCAGCCGACGTTTGATTTTAATCCAGCAGTTTACCCTGACCCAAGCCGAAACAGCGACTTTATACTTCCCTCCTTCACAACAGCCATCTTCGGCCAGCCAAGCGCCAACACTCTACTTCCCCACATCAAATCCTTCAAAGTCAGGAKCTTCTCAAGATCATATTGAGGCAGATTTGACTCCAAAATCAAGTCGCGTGAAGAATTGGTCCAATCAAGAGACGCGATTTCTCTTAGATTTATGGCACAATCAATACACAATCAATACGAAAAGGAATGCTGTAATATGGGATACCATCTCTAAAAGTCTTAACAAGCATCTAAAAGAACATGGTTTAAACAGTTTCAGGAGTGGCACTCAATGTAAAGTTCGCATCAAAGCTTTAGAAGATGATTACAAGAAGTTGAAAGAACACAACAACCRATCTGGAAATGATGACAAATCTTGTGAGTATTACGAGGAGCTGAACGAAGTCTTAGGGTGTAAGCCTTATATAACTCCAAAATCCACAGTGGACAGTGGATTCAGTGATGATTCTCCTGTCTCAGAGCTGGATGGCTCCGCCGTATGTGAATCCCCGGATTCTCTAGATGAATCAGATGAAATCAAGAGCCTTTCTGCAAGGAAAGGGAAAGGGAAGAGACCAGCTAAGCATAAACAGCCAGCAGCCACAAAAAAAGAGAGTTCAGAATGATGAACAAGAATCGAATGACTTATTAGAGTTCCTAACTGTTAATCAAGAAAAGGATCTTTGAGTTATTTGAAAAMCCGGCTGAGAAAGAGGCAGAATGCGAGTTGAAAAGTCAAAAACTAATGTTTGACGCGATCAAAGAAGTTGCAAAAATATTCAAAGACAATAATTMGACACAACGATACAAGTAAATTTTTGATATGCCTTACATATGCCTTTGATAGACCGAATGCTTATTCTATGACCACGTGCACGCTGCTCAACGATTTATTAAAAGCTTCTTGTCCTGGCGTGATTCCTCTAGCTTGAGGTAGGGCTTCATGCACCAACTAGTGAGTTTGTATGCAGGGTCAGCGACTAGCAAAGCATTAACCATTCTACCACGAATCCTACATGAAGGCGAGTTGAGAATACAATTGTTTTCTACTGTTGTAAATAGTGAACTCATACGTAAAACTAGAGCGTCATGAATACTGCCAGGATAACCTGTGCTGACGTGAATGAACCTCCCATTAGCATCAGCGACTCCTTGTAATATCACACTGAGAAATTTCTTTCTGTTACAATAATCATTCGCGCTCTCAGTAGGAGCAGATATTGGAATATGTGATCCATCCAATGCTCCTTCTACTTGAGGAAATTTTCAAAGTCTTGGATACATTTTCTTGTTTCTGCTTTGGTCCTAGGAAATCTGATAAAGTGATGAGCTTGCCTTATTAAAACCTCACAAAATTCGTCCTTCATATTCATTGCAGTACATCGACCGACTCCAAATGTAAGTGCTACAGTTCTATAAGAATTCCCTGTCGATAGCCGCCACAATGCAATAGCTACTCGTTTCTCAACAGGGATAGCACTACGAAGTAAGGTATCCAGACTATTCCACAAATGTATTCAAATGTAGTCCTGCTGACTCTGAAATTTTTACCCCACAGATGTTCAGTTCGATTATTCAAGAGTTCAATCAGAACCGAGGCCTTTCATATACCCAAGCAATCTTCTTCTCAACGTCAATTTTTTCTGAGATTTTGTTGTTTCCTAGCATGATGAAGGGCCAGAATCACTCTTCGTCTATGTTATAATGATAACAATCGAAGATTACGCATAAATCTATTACTTGAGCAAACGGCGCTCCCAACTATATTGCTTAATCTCACATTACCGCTAGGTGTGCAGTGTTCTTCTTTGTGAACAATCTACACATCACAACAAGCATATTTTGGATCTCATATTTTAACATTAACATTTTTACTACAACTGAGACGGCCCAGCGGACCAGAATTATGATGATGACCAGCCTGGCACACCTTTTCGGCGACATTTCGAGCAACAACTACTGGTTTACCCAACATATACGCCACCAATCCCAACAATGCAGCTTCCAAACTACCAGAACTATGTCCTGACAAATTTAGGAGACACTATGGCTCAAGCACCACCAAATCCTCTTTCCTCGGAGCCCAGCAGCTCATCTGAAAGTAGTAAAACACAACGTTGGAGCCACAAGGAGGAGGAAGCTCTCGTACGGGAGTGGAAAGACAACTTTACCTGGCTAGAATTCGAGACACTCTAGAGTAGTGTGGGAAGGGATCGCAAAATCMATTGGAAAGACGGTTTCACAATGTAAAAGAAGAAACAAGTTATCGGCGAATATTCAATACGCAGGTACATAAATATTGTTAGTGATCTCCTGGCAAGGTTCCTTGAAAAGTTGTTCTGGAATGTAAATGTGCATTTTATTTCTGTATTATACATAAATAATGCTTTAAATATCAATTTTTAATGACGGGGCCTTTTTCTTAATTACTGGGTTTTTTTTTTAGTTCAATCTTGGATTTGGTCGCCCACGAACCAACACTTTGCAACTTGCGACAAATTGAAACTCTCTGGAGAAACCTTTCTCCTCGAAAAACACCAAAAAAGAGCAGAAGG